CTGGTTGGCTGGACTTGGCCTTTAGCTACTGGTTGGCTGGACTTGGCTTTTAGCTACAGGTTGGCTGGACTTGGCTTTTAGCTACAGGTTGGCTGGACTTGGCCTTTAGCTACAGGTTGGCTGGACTTGGCCTTTAGCTACTGGTTGGCTGGACTTAGCCTTTAGCTACCATTCTGGCACTTATATTCCATTTAATGTTTCAGCTCCTGTTGTGCTGAACTTTACAGTTTAGTTTGTTTTACCATTTAGCTATTGTTCATAAAAAGTTTTAGACCAGTGTTTAGCTACTTTCAGCTATTGTTTAGCCAGTTTTAGACTTTCTAAAAATAGTATTTGGGTTTTGTTGAACTCATTTGAGCGTTTCTTAATATTAGCCTTTAGTTTTAGTTCTGATTTAATTCTGGTTCGGCTTCTGTAGCAGGTTTCAGCCATCCTTCGGCTCTTTAGAAAGCCGTATTTTAGAAGTTTAAAGCTAGTTTCTGCAGCTCTCCTCTGCCAGGCGGACTGTGGCACCCGATCCAAACTCTTGGCATCCAGAACTAAACGCTGGAAAAGTCGCTCCCAGTGCCATTACAAACACCGGTCCATTTTTTCCAGAACTTTTATTTCCTTAAAAAAAAAACACGTCTGCAGCGTGTCAGACATGACGAGTGGAGGAAAACTGCACGTGTGTGTGTGTGTGAAAATCATATCACAACATGTCAGTGTGTGGGCCACATCACACACACACTATAATTAAAGTTTCGTGCTGCTCTTATGTCGCCCCGAACCCAGCGCTCCATATGGGCCGTGTTTACACTGGGTGGCCGGGACCAGAACGACTTCAGGAGGGGAGTGGGAGAAACTGGGACGTGGCGCACGCACACGCACACACACACAGTAACACACACACGCACACACACAGTAACGCACACACGCACACACAGAGTAACCAGGCAGACTAATGTTTGTTCCTCTAATAATCTGACATATGAGAGGGATTTTGTGTTTTATTGGACACGATCCTGAGAGAACAAACTAAAAATGGAAAAGAAGTTTCTTCTAAAAGCGTTTGGACAAGAAGCCGTCGCTCACTGCCAGTGTTCTGCGTGTCTGTTAGCAAAATATCTCACAAACCAATGGACAGAGTCTAATGAATCACTGTCCATCTACAACAGATTAATTTTGGAGCTGAAATGATTGAAGATGGTGATGGGTCAGTCAGTTACATGATCACCCACCTTTCATCGTAGCAGGTAATTCAATTAGTCAGAACTTTGGTTTTCACTACATAAATCACAGACAGATTAAGGATTAAATCTATAAAACAGGAAACTTTGACTAATTTTGGCTCATCTCTGTAGGTTTTTCTGGACAAAAGCATAAATCTGAATAAAAACGTCGTACTCTCGATTAAATTAGAGCAGAATAAAAATCACCTGAAACTCTAGTTCTGAGCTCAGCTTATAATCTGACACAAACTAAGGGTCGTATCGAACTTGAAGTGTGAGAAAATACCCAAACTGTCACTTGGAAACAACGTGAACGGCACGTTTGCACAAACTGAGAAACTTCTGTCACATCACCAACAAATAAACGAAGGTCAGGAATTTAAAAACGTAGACGTGTAATCTGACGCCAGCAGAGAGGCCGCAGCTTCACAGAAGCTTCAGGAACAAGACTTCACCATCTGACGATGGGTCAGCTCCGGCCCGGATCAGATTGCTCATGACAGTGTGTCGTGGGGGATCTGTAGTAGATTTTCAGGGATTATAAAACAATTCTGGATTATCCATAGTGATCAAGTTTGGGAATAAACATCAGGAGCTAAGATTTATCCAAAAACCCCTGAAATATAAGTGTACAAATTGAAGCAAATAAACACTGATTTAAATGTTGTTGCGGTTAATGAAGAGCTGTAGCATGTTAGCATTGATGCTAACTTAATCTTGAAAAACTAGTTGGATTATGTTCATCAGAGGAAGTGAATACACAAAGGTTTCTGCAGACTCTCTGAAGGTGGCAGCGGATTAACGTGAACATCTAAAAATAGCCGACACCCCCCGGTGTGAACGTACCTGAGCCCATGTCGATGAAGGGGTAATTCACCAGCACCAGTTTGTTGAAGTTGAACTTGTAGGTGAACCTCTTCCCTTTGGTTTTGTGCAGGATCCTCTTGTTGTAGTAATATCTGAGGAAGAGAGAAAACTTCACCAAACAGCAGAATAATCTTAAAAGCATACGAGGACAGGTAAGTTCTGTCCAGCTCTGAACTTCAACACCTTCCTGAACACTTGAAAATGTGACAAATGAAGTTCTCGTCAAAACGTTACTTTATACAAGACGGAGCCCTGAAAGTGACGGAGGACTGCACGAGCAGACTGGAACCAGAACACGGGACTAGAGCAGCTGCGCAGTCGAACAGATCCTGCAGAAATCTTTTCACGAACCAACAGGAAGTAGAAAGGAAAGAAAAACGCTGCAGCGAACAACGTGCATCCGTTTCGTTGTTTTTAGGTTAAAAATCATTAGTTTGCTATATTTTGGCAAACTATACCATAGATAAGCCATGTGGTAACTCATTTACAACAAGTGACCTCTGCAGCTGAGGTTTTCTTCAAAGTTTGGTTTGAGGGAACATAAAAACATCTTTGTTCCCGTTTTGGTCCGGGACAAAAGTAACAAGTTACATCATCAACCTTTGGACGGCATCAACACGTGCATTCTGAAAATAATTAAAATTGGTAAAAATAAATAAATCTCACAACCATGCAGAGATGGTAAGTCATGAGCTGCATGTGCGTTAATTATTTACGAGTTTTTACAAGTTTCAACTGAGAAATTAAAAATAAATATTACCTGTTTACAACTCGATACGTTACGTTAAACTTCTGACACGTTATGGACCTACGGAGGAATTTAAACTTGGAGCTGCGACTGAGACGCCGCCTGGTCGCCTCCGCGTGATTTCTGACTGAACTGAATGGGATGAAGTCAGCCTGCTGCAGAAACAAGGTAGTAACAGAGCCGCAACGGTCGATGTGAAAAGGTAAGCTGGCGTTCCAACTCAGCGATGCGATGACGGATTACGTCTGTCAGGGTTTAAAAGCCTTAATGACAACAAACAGATTTATTACAAAGAAGAAGATCGACCGCACACAGCAGCTTGTGTTTGGTTTTGTGTTTCACCACAAAGTTACTCCACGTTAATTTGTCATGTAAAGAGTGAGAAATGTCTGCAGCGACGACGTGGGGCGAGAAAGGAGGCGTTAGGACAGAAAGGACAACACAGAGTTCAGTTGGTGGAATAAAGATCCGTTAGTTTAAACCGTTCAGGGTTCGTTTCATGAAAACAAAATCACCCACGCTGATTTTTCCCTGAGCAAATCCAGGAGATAATCAAGTCACAAAACGTTCAGAACTTAACGTCTTAGATGGCGGCGGCCACACCGCGCTGACAGGAAGTATCCTGTCGTCTATGGTGCGAGCACACGACAATCATTTCTAAAGATACTAATAAACCACCAGAGCCGGTCAGTAAAGTTACCACGTTTTTTGCTGTATAAGTCAGTTTCTTGTATAAATGATCATGCCCTGCGACTTATACAGTGAAGCAACATATTTATGCCCCCCCCCCCCATCTCAAAGATCATCTTTCAATCAACAGATCAGTTCAAATTCTGAGTTTGCCCTGATTTTTTTTACGTTTTTCTCAAATTACAAGAACATTTCCGTCTGGGGAAATGTAAAAGTCACTTTCCAGAGTCACTGGGAGCCCTCTGCATTTGTCTCTTTATTTTATCACGACCGCCACAACCCGCTTCTGAAGACTCGCATCTGTCCGTGCACGAGGCTCCACGAGTGATTTGTGAGCGGTCAGCAGCAGATTAAAGGCCGGCCTATCTTTGCGATCGCTTCCTGGAGGTTTTGAAACGACCAGCGGAGCAAACGAGTCCTCTGTAACTGAATTCACAGCAACAAAGTGAACAACTAAACACGAGCACCTAAACTCCCAACACAACTCATTTATGAAGCTAGAAGAGCACGTTAGACTCGTGAGCTGCTGCTTTGGATTTATTTCAGACAACAGGCTGTCAAAGGGACACATCCGCTGTACTTTTACATTATCCTGAGACTAAACGAGCTGCTCGCTCCGTGCACAGAAACACAATCCCTCGGAAAGCGGGGGGGACGTCCATTCAGGTGGAGTCCGATCCAGGCGGCCTCATTAGTTCGAGTGCATTAGTCACCGTCAACACACGGGAGGATGTAAAGGAGTGAATAGGCAGCTGCTGACAGCTCATCTGAAAAGGCAACGAAACGACCCGACGTGACTCACCGACAGGCGCGTTCATTTTTCTTTACATGAAAACAAGCGCGCCCCATTCAGCTGTGACCGGACACTTCACTGAAAGAAACATTACGCATCGTTTCCAGGTACGCCGAGTACAGGCGGCTCATTTAAAAACAGAAAAATATGGATTTCTGTAAAGCTGATGAGCCTTTTGTTGGCAGCTTCCTGCAGCAACAAAAGACTGAACGTGGAATAACAGAAAGGTGAACAGGCTGAGCGACTGCCCCACTCCCAGTGAGCATCCATCAACTACAGAGATCAATAGTTTATTAACAAACGAGCACGATGCAACAGTCAGGGACAGGATTCATCTTTGTGCGTCTGCACCGGGGATTTATATAAACGTCAGTAAATTGTACTGATGCAGTTTAAATCTGACGTGGTAGTAGCTGAGAGTCATTCCCAACACATAACCTGAGCTTTGATCGAGCAAGATCCGATTTTAATAACTTACAATTCAGAGTCAACTCTGTTAGCTAAATATCTCATAAACCAATGGATGGATTTTAATGAAAACATCAGGAAGTTATCATTGAATCAATCTACAGTTATCACATTTCAAGATGGCCGCCACAGCTAACCGACGTTACAAAACATAAAAACGGTTACACTTCAGCCAGTTTTACAGACACGGAGCTGAAAGTTGTTGAGTGGCTGAGAGTCATCCTAAACAGATACTCTGAGTGTTAACACACTGTACGAGATGTGCCTGTGGCGGGCGGCCATCTTGGATTAATACTCTGGCATAAAACATAAAGCAGGTGATATGCATTCCTTCAAGGAATGCCAGGACTTTAATTAATAACGATGGTGAAACATATCGTTTTAGATAAAAACTCTTGAGGGCAGGACTCTCTCGAGGCGGTAGATCTTACAACAATCTGTCACATTACACAGAACGGTTAGCAACAAAACACACAATACGGGACGTGAGTCATCCCGGTCAATCTGAAGCCACCGTGAACAAAATATTAGTCACGGGAGTTTGGCACAAAAGGAGAGAAAGTGGAGCAGCAGAGATTGGAGCAGGAGCTCATTCAGGTCCTGGATGACTCAGAGTGAAGGGCCTCTTCTGAAAGAAAACGATGAACTCTCACGCTCAGATGTAGTACAGTCGCACAAAGGCTAGCAGGGAACGTACGCGGGTGACGACAAGGAAGCAGTGAGCTGGAATACGCTCAGCCCACAGGTGTGGAGCGTCGCCATCATCCAAACCCTTTCTACACGTTTCAACCTCCGATTCAACCTCTTAACGGCCGGGCCCAACGAGAGCGTTTGATTAATCAGTTCTGTGTCGGAGGAACACGCAGCAGTGAGTTAACGGCTGAACGAGAGAGCACAGCTCGTTTTGGTATTACCCGCCAACAAACAGTGAGCAATCATGCATTTGTCTGTTGTTAGCTTTCATCGTGGTTCACAAAAATGTTTCACTCTCTGCAGTAAACATGGAACAAACTAGTTTTTATCATATTAGTCAAACTAACACTAGACTAGGTCTGTCACGGTAAACGTCGCTGGGCGATTAATTGTCTCAGAAATTATTGAGATAAACGATAATATTGTTTGAAAATTGACAATAATTATTGTCAATTTTTAGAAGAACCGTTGGTTCATTTCTGTGAGTAGTATCTTTTCTCGACCACATGATGGCAGTATAAGACAGTCTGAACCAAAGGATGGATAGTGAGGGAGCGAGCAGCGTGTCTCTAAGAAAAATGGGAGGGAGGCCCCTTGACGTGACACGGGCTGTCTCTCTTTCCTTTTCTTGTCACACAAAGCTTTTAATAATAATAATAAAAATCAGTAAACAAGTTCTCAGCTTCTTTTTGCAGAGAAAAACAACTTTTTACACGAAGGCACGGGTTTCAACCATGAATTTTTGAGCTTCGACAAGACAAAGTTTTTTCCTGAGGTCGGCCTGTTAGCTTAGCTCGTAGCTTAGCTGCTTTTAATGATCCAAAAACGCGATTTTGGATCATTAAAACAGATTTAAAGAGAACGGGAGGGGTCAGTGAAGAGCACCAGAGTCTCTTGTCGTCCAGTGTCTTCAGTAGAAAGAGAGACACGAAGAAACGATAAAGACGATAAATGAAAATGAGGTCAATAGTTTTCATTTATCGTGTGTACAAAAAAATTCTAAAGTATGATGGCCGAGTCTGCATTTGGTTCATCGGCTGAAACGAATAAGTGTGACCAAACATACAACACGTACGTGCAAAATCCACTCCGCATACTTTCAGAGGTAAATGTCAGGGTTTGAGCGAGGGTGTGAAAGGCTTCAGAGCTGCGAACGCAGTAAACGCTGCGAGGACACGACGGTCACCGCCGCCATGAACGGAGGACCCTTTGAACGAGTTTTGGGAAACGACCGGGCACATGCGTGTGAAAGTCACGCGTGTAATCAGAGCGAGCTCGGCCGAATCCTCCCGCTGAAGTCGGAGGAATTCAGCTGTCCAGGTTTTATGCACACGTGCATGTGTCGTATGAGCGAACGCACACGTGTGCACCAAACTCACTTCAAAGTCTGAGGAGCATCAATCAAAGATGAAGAGGGGTTTCTTCAAACGGCACCAGAGTTAATCAACAGCTCCTGGTTCATATAGGAACTGGAGAAACAACAAGAAACCCACGGCAGTTTCACTCCAGCTTTCCATTGATGAGAACACGTTCAACTCGTCTTTATCAGAGTCCACGTTTCATGAGCCGGCTAACGCTCGGTGACAAAAACTGAATCCACAGGTCTGACTAAAACAGTAGAAACTGCAAAGATGATTAATAAAGAGTGAACTGTGGTGCAGCACTTTTACCCTTAGCCTGCCTTTTGATACTCATCTTGTAACTATTTATTTAAACAGCTTTTTATAACTTTGTTACTTTTGGATTTTTCTAAGTCAAGTCTAAATTTTCTATTTGCTCCAGATAATCTCAGAAGTCATTCAGCATTTCACTGGAAGCGAGACTTGGAGACGAGAGGTGACTGTGAGCAGCAGTTTGGTTTCATGTGGAGAACGAGCACCAGACGCCATCTTTGATTTGAGGATGTTGATGGAGAAGTACAGAGAGGGTCAGAAAGAACTCCGTTGTGTCTCTGTGGATTTAGAAATAAAAGCATGACAGGAGGACATCAGGACATGTTAGACTGGTGCAGGACATGTATGAGGACAGCAGGACATGTAGGACAACAGCAGGACAGTGGTGAGATGTGCTGTAGGAGTTACAGATAGTTTCAAGGTGGAGGTGGGAGTGCACCAAGGATCGGCTCTGAGCCCCTTCTCGTTTGCTCTGGTGATGGACCGACTAACAGATGTGGTCAGGCAGGAATCCCCGTGGACGATGATGTTTGCAGATGACGCTGTGATCTGTGGTGAGAACATGGAACAGGTGGAAGAGAACTTGGAGAGGTGGAGGTATGCACTTGAAAGAAGAGGAATGAAAAACAGCCGTAGTAAGACAGAGTCCATGTGTGTGAATGAGAGGGAGGAGGTGGAACAGTGAGGCTACAAGGAGCAGAGGTCACAAAGCTGCAGGACTTCAAGGACTTGGGGTCCACTGTCCAGGAACATGGGGAGTGTGGTAAAGAGGTGAAGAAGAGAGTCCAGGCAGGATGGAGTGATGGAGAAAAGTTTCGAAAGTGATTTGTGACAAAAAGGTGTCAGCAAAGTGAGACCAGCTATGTTGTATGGTCTGGAGACAGAGATATGGACAAAAAGACAGGAGACAGAACTGGAAGTGTCATAAATGAAGATGTTGAGGTTCTCCTTAGGAGAGACAAGGATGGAGAAGATCAGGAATGAGATCATCAGAGGTACAGCACAGGTTGAACAACTGGGAGATAAAGTTAGAGAGGACACACTGGTTTGGACATGTCCAGAGGAGGGACAGTGGTTTGGACATGTCCAGAGGAGGGACAGTGGTTTGGATGCAGTTGGACAGAGGACGCAGAGGACAGAGTGAGATGGAGGAGGACTCACTGTGGAGACCCCTGAGGAGGGAAAAGCTGAAAGAAAGATTCAGCATTTTACTGTATTTTATTCAATTTTTTACAAAATTGCAAAATCAGTAAAAAAAAAAAAAAGATTAAGATTTATTCAGATTAATCAGATTTTTAGGGATGAAAAAAGTCACGAACAAACGAGACAGATGGGGCGGAGGAGAGCTGACCGAACAAGGTGTTCAGCGTTTTAATGTGCGTGTGCACGTGTGCACGGCCCTGTGTGTGTTTGTGGCGACGAGGCAGCGTAACTACAACACAGGAGGCCACAACAACTCCTAGCCGTGCGCTCGTGTGTGTGCGAGAGAGATGGTGTCAACAAGGATGAGAACATACTGGTAGCTACATAAAGTGAGCAGCGTCCCACATGTTGCTCCTCAGTGGGTGAAGGTGTTTCTAAATCAGCCACCCTGGAGTTTCAGCACGCAGCGCACATGCACCGTTCTGTTTCTTACACAATGTCAACGTTACAACGAACAAGGAAAAATTAGAAGCTTCAATTTGTTTTTAGTGCTCACAGCCAAAACCATGTTTGAATACTAGTTAACTTCAGGAAATTTAAAATGCTTTTAACTAAAAATTTAACAAAATATAAAATTAGGTTGATGTGAATCGTTCAGCCTTTTTCCCTTTGCTTCCATTTTATCATCTTTCATGATTAAAGTAGTAAAGGTTTTATTTGAGCTTTTTTTATTCCATATTTTTATAATCTGGCACAAACAAGAACTTATATTGGCACTGATTTTGATACTGATCCACACATTTAAAGCCAAAGTCTTTAAACTTAAACTGATGTTGGAGAATCTGCTTATAAAATGTAATATTTGCATAATATGAAGTATCATTCTTACTGAACCACAACCATAAACTAATCAGTGAATCTCTAACTTTAACTCGAGGCTCTTGAACTGTGTCTCACGTAGAACAACCCTGACAATAAAGCCAACAATATTAAACGCTGTATTTAATCTTGAGCATTTTAAGGTAGATTGTGTTCGTAGTCAAACGAAGGCTTGAAACCTGGAGTAGGACAGGATCACCGACCCGAACGTGACCGCAGAGTAAACTTTTGGTTTACTCTGTTCATGACGAGGAACTAAATTTAAAAACTCAGATTTTAGAAACAACGCGTCACACGGAGGGGATTTTTTTCAGGTGCAGGAACATTTGGTCCTATGACCCGGCACAGACTCGTGTGGACAAGAACCACTAGTTATTCTGACAGACGACCCACTTGTGTTTCACAAGCTGCAAATTGTTTTATGAACAACGGACTTATATTTTTCTCATAAAAAACAAAACAAATGAAGAAATCTGAGCCTGGAGTCTTCAGACCTCACCTTAGTGCTCGGCTGAGCTTGTCGTAGTTCATCTGGGGTTTGCACTTCCTGGCCCCCCACAGCCGGGCCACCTCATCCGGGTCCTTGATGACGAACTCGCCGTAGTCTCCCTGCCAGGCGATGACATCGTTGTACTCCTGTTTCCTCAGCAGCTCCAGGATGAAGTGCCACAGCTGGATCTGCCTGGAGCCCGGGCTCGACTCCGGCTTGTAGGCCCACTCTGGAAATGCAAACCCTGTTTAGGTGACACAGTACAACTACCGGTCAAACATCTCACTTTACACCTTTAGGTGTTAGTGCTGAAAGAAATTCTTAAAAAGACATTTATATCTTATTATTATGGAGTATAAAATGGTTTTTGGTGTCTCCGTGCGAGCTGCTGACGACCATTTTGGTCGAATCTTTTTCCCACAGACTGCAGTTACATCAAACCATCCCTGCTATCAGCATCAAAGCTGAAAAATCAGCACTGTTTTTAAAGATTATCAGGCCTTGAAACACGAGCAGACAAAATATAAGATGCAGCTTGATAACTACTGTCAGAACGCACACTCAGAGCAGCACACACGCCATTATACAAACGTTAAAGTATAGCTTTGTGATTATGGATGGTCAAAGACTCAACACTGCTCGTGCACAAGGCCAGGCTGAAAGGCTGAATAGTGAAGGAATAGTCTCACACACACATTCACACACACCTTATTAGGACCAGATGTGTCTTGGCAATCAGGCTGAGAAAGCCGGGAAAGGCTGGGAAACATATGGGCGCAATATAACAATGCTGAATTCTGTTTGTGTAAGACTGTAAAGAAACACGTTAGCCTAAATACCAAAGTTACAACTGGTTTCCCACACCCTGCAGCGAGTCGCATCTGCACAGAACTGACTGGAAACCGTTAAAATGCACAAAGGTGGACTAACAGCGCTGAGGTGACCTGCTGATACAAACACAACAATCAAGAGTAGGTATCAGGATCTGATTAAACCGATATTACGGCTGATTTTACAGCTAAACGTTTGCTCCTTTGATCCTTTAGTGCCTCGTCGACGCTCGATAGGAAAACCCTTTGGGGGAAGCTCTATAAAATTGAACAAAAACACTGAAAAGCAACCACAAAGTGCACGAAAGCAGATGAACAACGGGCAACAAGCAGACCTGGCAAACTGGACGTTACGCCAAACGTACGCTGCCAAGCGTGCACTCTGCGGGATCAATTACAAAAGAGTACAAATGAAACAACCCTGGCTCCAAATTAAAACTTTATTTTATTAGAAGAAGCAGGTTTGCTTCAAAATAAACTACATTCAAAGCAGGTTTGAGGCAAATGGTGTGTGTTTTTAGACAAATGTCCCAGTGAGTCGGTAATTAATCTGCTCAAAACTCAAAAATCTCATCTGAAAGCAGCTCTGCAAATGAAAGATACAGGCTGCGTTTTATTAGCAGGTGTAAACGTCTAAACGAGTCATGGAAACACTGACCGGGGGGGCGTTGTCATAAAGTCCATTATCGAACAGGTGACGAGCAGCTCTGGGTTTGCAAACAACAGATACAGCCAGGAAAGTTGAAGTTTCAGATTTAAACGTGATAAAAGTGAAAACGCCTATTTCTGAAAGGAAGCTACAAAGTTCAGGTAAGGATGCAACATTATAACACGTTTGTGCATTCTGACGATAAACTTACTCTGAACCGCTCGCAGCATTTTGACCGACAGGAAACTGAGCAGGTGATGGATGTGATGCTGCCGACGTGCAGTTATTTCAACAGATTTGTTCGTCTTGCTCCTTCTTATTGACGCTTATAAAAAATGGATAAAACTGTCCGTTTTACAGACACCGACCTAAACTTTGGAGTGGTGGCAGCTGCTTTTTGAGCATTGGATATCTGTTAAAATGAGCAGATATGAAGAATTACAGTTGCCCCCGACCTCCAGGGCTAGGTGGTGCTTTTACACCGAAACAACTCCAAGCGCCCATGTGTCCGTTTCCACCACTGGTATTTGTTTTTTAAGGTTTATAAAATCAAAAGTCAACTTTACTGACGGAAAATGTGCATTGCTCCACGCTGAACCATAAGAAGCAGGACAGATCCCCGTTTCATCACAAAAGCGTTCGGCTGTGGAACTGCGAGTAACGCAAACTTTAGTTGGACCGGGGTCATTTTCCAGGAAAAACTGAGGTAAGAGCTCGTTATGATGCGTTATCTGCTTTTAAACGGTTTGCTGCGCTGAAACTTTTTGCGCTATAATAATTAGCTCTGCAGGAACAAATGACAGGGAAAAGCACGTGTTATGAGAAGCAGGAAGTTCGTCTCAAGACATTAGACAAGAAATGCATCGGACGGTTGAATAGTTAAACTTATTTACCAGACAAATTTAGTTCTTATTTTTTAAAATTCAGATCGTTTTCGCTTACGATGCACATTAATCTTGTAGCCGAGTCATCTCTTCACATCCTCTGAGCACTGACCAGTGGTTCGAGCTTTTCATGCAAAGCAGCAGCCGATACGAATTCATTTAAGAAATGCTTTAGTTATATTTGTATTCCAGCTTTGATTATTAGACGACGGTGTACCGTCGAGACTCAGAAGAGTCACAAGTTTTCGTTACTTCAGTGATCAATCATTTTATTAAGTACAATTCTTTTACAAAGATTTCTTGATAAAATGAACGTATATTTGTTAGCACTCTATAAATCTGATGTAGTGCTGGAGTCAGAGTGTCATCATGCAGCTGAGCTCAGCAGAAAATTCAGTTATTGTGACATAATTATAAGTCTATGGACCTCAACCTTTACCAATGATACTGATTATGATTGTTTCTAAAACAGATAATGGACAAACTGAAGTCTTGATGAAATGACATGAAGCAGTTTAAAAAGTGTGTAACAGCAAACCAACCCTACCGCCCTCCCAACAAGAACTGGGAGACCCTACACTCCCACCCCAGCATGAATGCACATTTCCAAAGGGGGAAGGGGAGAAATGGGATTCAGCTTCTGGCATCTCTTTTGATAACCATCTCTTCTTCTTCTTCTTCTTCTTCTTCTTTCGGCTTTTCCCTCTTCAGTGGTCGCCACAGCGAGTCAACCTCCTCCATCTAACATTAATAACTAACTTTTTCCAAAGGTGCAAATATTCCTCATTTAACATCTTACCTCCACATCAACCTGGTTTCAGGAAACAACACAACCACTGCTTCACTGAAGGTTCTTAATGACGTTGTTGAAGCACTGGATGCTAAGGATTACTGTGCTGCACTTTTCTTAGACCTGTCTAAAGCTTTTGACACTGTGGATCAGAACATCTTGTGTCATAAGCTCTCAGAAACTGGTTTCTCAGATCACACCATTGGTTGGTTCTCTAACTATCTCTCAGATCGGAGGCAATGTGTTCAACATAATGGTACTTCCTCCAGTTATTTAACAGTCAACAATGGTGTACCACAAGGCTCAGTCTTGGGACCCACCCTCTTTACAATCTACATACATAATGTAGGTCAGAGCATCCCTGATGCATCCATACATTTCTATGCTGACGACACAGTTGTTTATTGTCGAGCTAAAACTGTTGCTAAGGCTTTCCAGCTTCTGAAATCTGCATTCAACATCATCCAGTCAGATTTGTTCCGCCTCAAACTTGTCCTAAATGTCGATAAAACCAAAGGGATGCTTTTTTCAAACAGGAAGTTGGTCCCAGCAGTTCTTCCTCTGATTTTATCCTCAAATGGCGTCCCCATTGAGTTTGATAATTCCTATAAATATTTGGGTATCTTGGTCGTCTCACATCTCTTTTAAGCTCCATGTGGAAAACTTGATAAAGAAACTGGGAGTTAAACTGGGTTTCTTTTTCAGAAACAGATCCTGTCTAACCCTGAATGCTAGGAAACACCTTGTATCTGTGACTTTCCTTCCCTCCATTGATCACGGTGACATTATTTACATGAACGCTCCTACAAGAACCCTGCAGATGTTGGATGCTGCAGATGTTGGATGCTGTCTATCATGGTGCACTAAGATTCATAACTGGCTGTGATTATCGTACCCACCACTGCACCCAGTATTCACTGGTTAACTGGTCACCATTAAGTTCACACAGACTCTCTCACTGGTACATCTTCATCTTTAAATCACTTCCTGGTCTGCTGCCTTCATACATCTCCTCCTACATGTCTCTGTGTGAGTGCAGCTACAGCGTGCGCTCTCAGGACATTATTACCTGCAGTGTTCCCTCAGTGAGGACTGAACTAGACAAAAGGACCTTCTCCTACTCCGCTCCTGTTTCCTGGAATATCTTGTAAAAAGATCTGAAGCTCTCGACCTTTGACCTCTCTAAGTGTCTTTAAGAACCTGTTGAACTCCTGGCAGGGACCAACGCAGACATGTTCCTGTTTTTAGTTTTCTACATTCACCTTAGAATCTAGCTGTTTTGCCATTTTTTGCCATCTTTTTTTTAATTTGTAAAAAAAATAAAAATCTTTATGCCTCTTATGATTGTCCACTGTTGTCATCTTTCTTTGTTGAAATCAGGTCTCTCCTGTAAATGAGTCCTCGAGGCTCAATGGGATTTAACTGTTGAAATAAAGGTTGAATGAAAAATTCACTTTCTTCCACCCTCTGTGTTTTTCCTCAAAGTGTCAGCTAACACCCATTAAAATCTTACAAAAAAGGCATCTTAAATCCAGAAAAACAGTCCCGTTCCCGATGACTAACAAACCACATGCTGTTATCTGATCGCCCGTGGTGCTCGGAGAGAAAGCCAGGAGGACAGACAAGCTGGCTGTGATCGCTGCTAACAGCTATTGGAAAGCAGATTAGTAATCTGGTCGAAGCATATGATTCATACTCCAAACAATACGACTCTTGTCTCTGAGGACAGGTGACACAACATAACGGGGTACGCTGTAGATTGATGGGCAAAAGCACACTTCCCAGAATGCAACAGCAGCAGCACCTATAAGAAAGTGAGTTAATATTCCTCGCACACAAAGATGTGGGCCACAGGTTAGCGTGGAGAGGTAAGTGGGTTCATGCGTGGGTGCACAGAACATACAGACAGAACACAGGAATAGCAAGCATGCCCACTGCGTGTGCGCTGCAGATGTCCCTGCTGACTCATAGCTTGTTCGTTTTGTCGTTAAGCTTTCGCAGATTTCTCCTTTCTCCCCCTCAACACCACGGCCATTTCTTTCTTCCCTCTTTCACACCGTCCCTCCTTCAGCCAGCCTCTCCTAAGACAAG